TAGGAGTGCATTGCCTGGATGTATGTTAAGTGCACCCATGTCATGCAATGCCCGAGGAGGTCAGAAGAGGGTGTCAGGTCCCCTGGAACTGGAGTTACAGATGGTTGTTAGCCGCCATATGGGTGCTGGTCCTCTGCAAGAGCAGCCAGTGTTCTTAACCACTGAGCCATCTCTCCAGCACTACAATGGACTTATTTTATAATTCATTAAGTAATGAGTTCTGTCATTCAAGGGTTTAAGAATATTAAACACATGATCATTTATTCAGTGACCAAATTCGTGCTGTGAACTCACTATATGCCAAATACTGTCCAGAGGACAGAAAACACAGTATTGAAAAGGACACAGTCTCAACCTTAAGGAGCTCTCTGTGCAGAGAGAACAATGTATCTCACACTGTGGCACTTGCTTATGGCAGTGCCCCTACCCTTTACAAACTCTTTTCTCTGCTCTCTGATAAGTGTTTTCTCTAAAGTGGCTGGAAATTCCTCAAAGACTTCCTCATCAAGGACACCAAATTGGACCCCATTGGCCCAGTTTAGATTTGGGATAACAGAGGCAAATAAACAGGAAAGAAAGAGAACAAGAGAGAAAACTGCAAAAAACGATTCTAGGCCTGGCTCTGCCCTGTTGATGGCAACCTGAAAATGCCAAGCCCTCAGAGCATCTATTGGAGACTATGAAAGCCCTATCTACTTTGGAGGGTCCCCAAGCCCTCTGAACTTCCCTTGAGAGGCTCCCTGGTACACTACCCAAGTACATTAATCTTCACCTTGGAGACGCCCCAAGCCCCTTGAACTTCCTTTGGAAGGTCCAAGTGCCCTTATCTTCAGTTCCTTCTTAAATAAAAAGGGTTCATTTCCAACACACTCTTCTCATCCTGCATTTGAACATGTGACCATTTTTTTCCTTCTGTAGACTGAAGTAGAGCTTAGTGGGTCCCACAATCCCTTCAACTTCTAAGAATCAGGTGGGCTTCCTCTGGCGCTGGTTTAAAGGCAACTCGAGACTAGAGTGAGGAAAGGCTTTGAAAGCAATAAAACAGCAGTCATTTAAGACTCCCAAAGAAAATGGTTTTTTTTTCATGTTGTTTACATCCAAAACCTCTTTTGGAAGATCCTTGATATAAATGATGGCCTGTCTTCCTAGGCCTTAAACCTGACTGCAGCCAGAGGGAAAGATTCACAAGATGTTTCCCAGCTTTTGTCTTTGATGACAGAAAAAGCCTTAAGCCCAAGGCAGGAGGCTGGGCTGAGGTCCAGAGGTCAGGCCCATAGCTATCCTTTCCTCCAACATATTTCAGTTTTGCTCCCCCCTAAGGTAGGGTCCTGACTGACCCAGGATCTAATTGCTAAATACTAAGTAACTCCCCTAGTTGAGACTTGGGGCTGGAGAGATGGCTCAGCTGTTAAGAGCACTGACTGCTCTTGCAGAGGACCAGGGTTAGATTCCCAGCACCCACATGGTAGCTACAACCATCTGTAACTCCAGTTCCAGGGGATCCACCACCCTCTTCTGTCCTCCATGGGCATTGCACAACAGGAGTCTACATGCAAAGCATTACATTCATACATCTAATTTAAAAATAATAAATGAAATCTCACAGAAGGAAGCCAGCTACATTCAGAAAGAAGCCACTGCCTCATGCAAAGCCAGGAAGTTAACCCGGCCTGGAATTCACCCTAGTGTCCTCACGGCCAGCACTTCCTCCTGTCCCTGGGCTGCAGCTGTCAACATTCCTAGGACTTGGACCAAGCATTTTACAAATATTAATCCATGCGCTCTCATGAAAGCTGTATAAAATAAACATTCCTAGGGCAGGACCCTCCTCCACAGACACCAGAGAGTCCTAAACAAAAGCACCCAACCTCTTTTCAGGGATTCAGTTTCCAGGCGAGGCATTCAGTCTTCCCTGTGCTCAGGCCTTGACTAGACCATACATAAGAACACCTGGGGGGAGTGTAATATCTCAACAAGAGTAGAAGTCTAGCCAGGTTGAGCCCTGGTTCCTCCATTACCAACCACATGGTGGTAGGCAGCTAGGGGACTCTCTCTGAACAACAGTCTTCTCATCTGCAAAATGGGAATCATATTATCTACCAAATCCATGAGGGCTGGTAGCAGTAAAGGTAAAGTCTTGATTAGCTGCCTGGCATCTGGTACCAAACAATTCAATAAATACCAGCTGACTTTTTGGAGAAGAACTTAAGGCCTTCTCTAAAGGATGTTTTACACCATGAATTCTATTTTAACAAATGTATACATAGCTCTCATGGTGTATCTAGCAATTGAAACATTTTGCAAATATTAACTCATGAAATCTCATAACAGCCATATAATACAGACCTTACTTTCATCCTAATTTTATAGCAGATGGAGAAATTAAGGCACAAATGGTTCAGACAGCAATAGAGCTAGGGGCCATGTAGTAAGTGATTTGATTCTAAAAGCCATGCTTTCTGCTCCCCAGGCTCCCCGTCTGACTCCCCATCCTCAAAATCATACTCAGAGGGAACAATCCCAATGTACAAAGGCAAGAGGGACAGCATTGCCTTTGTATCCCCCAAGGGAACTGGGGGCTAGAAAAGCAGCAAGTCCACTCGCCCACAGAGGTTGCATGAGATGCCCTCCCCGGGGTCTGACATTCACCTGGTGACCACATGGCTCTGGGAGAGAGTAAGGACTGCAAGGAGCACGACGAAGCACCTCATCCTGGACCACAGGCAGCCAGTGACCATCCTTGTAGCCTTTATAGAGTGGGGCCCCCACTGGCTGGATGCCCAGACTTCAGAGGCACCCCCAACTTCAGTGTACTCCACAAACATAGTGAGATAGCACTCAGACTACCCAAGACCCACATTGATAAGGTCCACAAAGTCTACCATTCTAGGGACTTCAAAGTTGAAGGGTATGCAGGCCTGATCTTATAGCTAGGAAAAGTCAACACAGGCCCCTCTATACCAAATTCTCCTCTAGGCAGGACCTCTGAACTGACAGACAAAGGTAGGGCTGCTACCAGGAGCCCATTTCACATGCTGCCTTCTGCTCTGTAAGCAGCCTGTTCCCATCAGGTTACAGACCTTTCCTCCCTACCTCCCATCACTAAGTCAGACTTCAATGGAAGCTGAAGCCTGTCATGTCAAGGAAGCCCCTGGTTCTAGCCTCCTAGACCAGTTTTCCAGAAAGAACTTAGTCTAGTCCCAAAGTGGCACCTGAGGCCAAGAATACTTGAATAATCTGTCATCACAGTGAAGGGAGCTCAGCGTTAGAGTCCAAGGCAGCCATGCTCCAAGTTTCCACAGAGAGCAATGTCTAAAAGAAAAGAGCACGGAGGCTCAATCATCCCTCGGGGCATGGGCCCCTGTATCCGTGTGAGAAGGATTTTGAGAAAGTGAATGGAAAATGCCAGCTCACAGGACCAACTGGAAGATCTAAGGAGGACTGGAATGGGAAGGCAGACATGTGCCTCACGTGAAGGCAAAGGGAGATGGCAGTGATGGTTTAGGGAAAGGGTAGGCCAAGACTCCATGTAGGAGGCCCAATTGCAGGTACAGGTTCACATACAGAGCAATGTTTCAAGTGACCTGCTGGAGTCCAGACCTCAGTAGCCAGATAGCTATTCTCTCTGGCCTACAGTTCAAGGGAGATTCAGGATAAGAAAGAAACCAAAGCCTGCAGCATGACATTAGTGGAGCCCATCATGACCCAGACTTGGAAACTGGAAAATCGGGATGACATTGGAATAAGGCAGGCAAAGTTGGAGGACCATGGTGTACATGAGAACATGGTGACAGCTATCTGACCCTAACAGGGCAAATATCTTCATGGAGAAGAAGGCCTGGTAGGGGTGGGGTTAGGGGGAAGAGGGTAGGATGGGGCAGCTATAGGGTCAGAATGGTGGATCTGGATATGCCAGCCCTCTCTATAAGAGGTACCAACTGAAGTTTCACACATTTGATTTGTGAGGTCCTCGGGAAGGCCACAGGGAGCCAGGCAAAGGAGAACTGAGTATCTGAACAGAAACAAAAGCAAAAGCCAAGCCTGACCCCCACCATAGCAATGCCCTCTTCCACCCACAACCCTTCACAAAGCCACCAGACAAGATCCCAGAAGGCCAGGACATGGATGCTTCTCATGTCCCTGAGAGGTGGCTACAAGCATATGCAGTTTCCATCCAGCACCCCCTACCCCAAAAGCCAGAGAAGCAGAGGGCAAAATCAATACTAAATGGTAAAGCTTCTTTCCTGTGTTCTTTCCTTAGGACACTGGCCTGTTAGACCCAGTACTAGTTGCTGGCCCTGCATCTGGGCTGTGTCTTCCCCCGTAACCTAGCACTGAGGACAATGCACAGGAGGTCCTCAAGGAATCTGAAGAAGCAGGTGAATGGATAAGCGCCCTTGCCGCTGCCCTTGAGAAGCAGCAGAGAAGTAACAGGCCATCTCTGAATGCTG